CAAAAAAGGGGAGAGCGGGCATTATGTGTGAAGGGTTTCAAGATAAGGATCTTGAAGTAATTCAAGAGCTAATAGACATCAGACCAGAGGAATTAATAGAAGATGACTTGATGGAGATGAGTGTTTCTAAATTGGTGCTAGGTGATGAAGAAGAAGCAGTGCCAGAAAACAAATTGATATTAGATAATCTGCCAGAGGGGGTTTGATTATTCAAGACTGCTTATGACTTCTTTTACCACATGGCTTCTTCAATGGTATGGGCATGGAAACTAAAGCGATTGGTGGAAGGAGGATTGGTACCTGTAGAAACATTTTTAGAGAAATAAAAAAGCAAAAGAGACAGAAATTATTACATATTTCCATAAAGTTACACTGAATATACCTGCCTCTTCCACCTCCTTCACCTCTTCTGCCTCTGCTACCCCTGAGGACAGCAAGACCAACCCATTCTCTTCAGCCTACTCAATGGAAAACACTGAAGATAAAGACTTTATTATGATCTACTTCCATTAATGAATAGTAAATATATTTTCTCTTCCTTATTACTTTATTTTATTTTGAGTCAGAGTCTCAACTCTGTTTCCCTAAGCTAGGATGATGCAGAAAGGCAGCTCTCAGGAAAGAAGATCTATCCTAGGCAGACACACTCATAGGTGTCTATCGAAATTATCAATTGCTGGACACATACCGTCGCCCTTGGTATAGTGCCATGGCGTCATAACTCACAGCAACCTTCTGGATTCAAGCAATCTTCCTACCTCAGCCTTCCACGTAACTTGAATTATATGAAACCCAACTAATTTTTCTAGTTTTAGTAAATAAGGGGCCTCGGGCCTCAGTCTTGTTCAGGCTGGTCTTGAACTCCTGAGTGTAAGCAATCTACCCTCCTCAGCCTCCCAGAGTGGGAGGATTACAGGCGTGAGCCACCATGCCCACTTTTTTTTTTTTTTTTTTTGTGACAGTCTCACTCTGTCAACCTTATTAGAGTGTCATGGCATTATAGCTCACAGCAACCACAAACTCTTGGGCTTGAGCAGTCCTCTTGCCTCAGCCTCCTGAGTAGTTGGCATTACAAATGCCTGCCAGAACATCCAGCTAATTTTTCTGTTTTTAGTAGATATGGCGTCTCACTTTTGCTAAGGCTGGTCTCAAACTCCTGATTTCAAGCAATCCACCTGCCTTGGCCTCCCAGAGTGCTTCTTTTCTTTCTTTTTTTTGAGACAAAGTCCAACTCTGTCACCCTGAGTAGAGTGCCATGGTGTCATCATAGCTCACAGCAATCTCGAACTCCTGGGCTCAAGCAATACCTCTGCCTCAGTTTTTCTGTCTTTAATGGAGATGGCGTCTTGCTTTGCTTATGCTGGTCTCAAACTCCTGAGCTCAAGGGATCCACCTGCCTCAGCCTCCCATAGTGCTAAGGATTACAGGCATGAGCCACGGTGCCAAGCCAAGATTTCTTTTTTTTAATTTGAGACAGAGTCTCACTATGTTGCCCACGGTAGAGTGCTGTGGCGCCTCAAACTCTTAGGCTTAAGCGATTCTCTTGCCTCAGCCTCTCAGGTAGCTAGGACTACAGGTGCCTGCCACAATGCCTGGCTTTTTTTTTGTTGTTGTTGCAGTTGTTTAGCTGGCTGGGGCCGGGCTTGAACCTGCCACCCTTGGTGTATGTGGCTGGCACCATAACCACTGTGCTACGGGCACCGAACCTCAAGCCACAGTTTTTGACTGTGGGCATAGTGGCTCATGCCTGTAATCCTAGCACTTAGGATTCATATCTCTGTAAATGTCTCTTTGTGTGTATGTGACTGTTTGATAATTTCTTTAGACCATGCCTAAAAGTAAATTTGATCTACGATAGGACCCTTTTAACTTCACCAGAAGTTACCACATTTTTCTCCAGGGTAGGTGTTCTAGTTTGCATGCCTACCAGCTATATATCTGAGTTCTTTTCTACATCTTGGCCAACACTTGGTGTTATCTGTCTTTATTTATTTATTTATTTTTGAGACAGAGTCTCACTTTGTCGCCCTCAATAGAGTGCACTGATGTCATAGCTCATAGCTCTTAGGCTCAAGTGATTCTCTTGCCTCAACCTCCCAAATAGGTGGGACTATAGGCGCCCGCCACAATGCCTGGCTATTTTTAGAGATGGGAGTCTTAATCTTGCTCAGGCTGGTCTCAAACCTGTGAGCTCAGGAAAATTCACCCTCCCGGAGTACTAAGACTACACCTGTGAGCCACCGCGCCCATCCTATCTGTCTTTAAATATTTGCCATTCTAGTGTGTATGAAATAGTATCTCATTGAATTTAATTTGTACTCTCCTGGCTGTTAACGTATTTCTTCTTAATTTTCAGGATAGCACCCTATTTATTTCTTGCATAGCACTTAACCACAAGCCATTATTTTGAGTTGGTCTGCCTCCCTATTTAGAGCATAATCTTTGTTAAGGTTGGGATCACATCTCTCTAGTTTACTATTTTATCCTCAGACCTCAGTCCAGGGGTTAAAACTGAATGGTCTGGCTTAGTGCCTGTGGCTCAAGTGGCTAAGGCACCAGCCACATACACCTAAGGTGGCAGGTTCGAATCAGCCCGGGCCCACCAAACAACAATGATGGCTGCAACCAAAAAAAAAAAAAAAAAAATAGCCAGGCATTGTGGCAGGTGCCTGTGGTCCCAGCTACTTGGGAGGCAGAAGCAGGAGACTCACTTGAGCCCAGGAGTTGGAGGTTGCTGTGAGTTGTGATGCCACAGCACTCTACCCAGGGGGACAGCTTGAGGCTCTGTCTCAAAAACAAAACAAAACTGAATGGTCTGACATGTAGTAGGTGTTCTATTAAATAGGCATTTAATGAATTAGAAGCTTAGGGGTGGGGGGTTTTATTCTCTCAGTAAATAAGTCTGACATAACTGTACTCATAAGGGAAACATTTATACAGTATTAGGGATTTATTTTATATTCCCCCTATCCAAACCTTATACTTTATTCTATAGCTAGTTCACAGTCCCTAATTCCTTTTTTTTTTTGAGACACAGCCTCAAGCTGTCACCCTGGGCAGAGTGCCGTGGCATCACAGCTCATAGCAACCTCCAACTCTTGGGCTTAAGTGATTCTCTTGCCTCAGCCTCCCAAGTAGGTGGGAGTATAGGCACCCACCACAATGCCCGGCTATTTTGTTGTTGTTGTTATTGTTATAGTTGTCATAGCTGTTTGGCAGGACCAGGCTGGCTTTGAACCTGTCAGCTCTGGTGTATGTGGCTGGTACCTTAGCCGCTTGAGCTACAGGCGTCGAGCCCACAGTCCCTGATTCTTAGCTTCCTTTTTTCCCCTTTTTAAGCCTTTGAATAAGCCTGATGGACGGTAGTAATGATAGAGGATAACAGAAATATTGAGTCACACATTGTTTGATTTAATAGATACCTATCTGCTCCCACTGGGGGCCTGTGATTTGAGATATACTGATGTCCAATTAACGTCAGATTGTCTTCTCAGTCCCACATCCGAGAAGAAACCAAAACTCTGATAAGGTTCATTATTAGATAGGAAATAAAGTTAGAAGCTTTTTGCCTTTGTTGGGATTCCTTTCAACAGAGTTGATCTTGTCTTATCTAATATAAGACTTTATGTACAGACTTATGTACAGACTTCATCAGCAGAAATTCACTAAGCTAGGCATGGTAATTTTTTATTTTTGAGAAATATAAAAGTTAAAAAGGATTAAAGTAAATCTCAGTTAACTTTTCTGAAGTCCCTTTCTTTCCCCCTAATTACTCTTACTGCTATAGCCACTGTAAGTAGCTCTGATTACATCCTGTTTGGGCTTTTTCAGTTCCTGAGCTCTATATTGACTATATCTAAACTTTACTCATTGCCTTGGTTAGGATACCCTGGGATGTAGAGAACAAAGCCAGGCAATCCACGGATATCCACAGATACCCATCTTAGAATATAAAAGCACACACATAACTAGAACCAGGAGTTAGAGTAGTGGAAATGTCTACTGAATGTTCCAACCTTATGGCTGGGCGCCTGTGACTCAAACAAAAAAAAAATAGCTGATGCTACAGCACTCTACCCAGGGTGACAAAGTGAGACTCTGACTCAATTTAAAAAAAAAAAAAAAAATGTTCCAACCTTACTTCTGTTTTTAAGAGAAGCCCTAAGCTTAGGATGGAATTTTTTTGTCCCAATTATAAATTCCTAAGGAAGGATGAGCCAGATGCCTACCTGACTCCAATAAGCTGTGACTATAGGGTTATATCTATAAACATGGCAGCTGAGAGCCACTCCTGTAACAAATGATGCAGAAAGGCACCACTCAGGAAAGAAGATCAATCCTAGGCAGACATACTTATAGGTGTCTGTTGAAATCATCAGTAGCTGGGCATATACAATGTTTTTATAAGCTCTGAAGCCTCACTTTGTTGCCCTCAGTATAGTGCCATGGCATCACAGCTCACAGCAACTTTAAACTCTTGGGCTTAAGCAGTTCTCTTGCATCAACCTCCCGAGTAGCTGGGACTATAGGTGCCCCCCACAACGCCCAGCTATTTTTAAAGACAAGGTCTCACACTTGCTCAGGCTGGTCTCAAACTTGTGAGCTCAGGCAATCTACCCACTTCGGCCTCCCAGAGTGCTAGGATGACAGGCGTGAGCCACCACACCCAGCCTCTTCCATAAGACTTAACTGGTTCTTTAACCAACTGATCTCCTTTCCACACCTGTTGCAAATATATTTTCAACAGACTCCTGGCTTCTTGGACTCTTAAGTGAGCTTTGGGGATGATAAGGTGTGCTTTCTCCCTATTCACTTATCTGGAGGAATTTGAAAGTAGCAATATTATGTATAATTCAGAATCTCTCTGATATCCTTATATTTTATTAATGTATTATTCCCCCATCTAGTGGGAAATGGCGGTGAAGTGGATATTATAAAACTGTGGCAACCTGGAAAATTTATTCTGCTTTTGCTCAGAACCTTACATTTTCATTTTATAGGAACATGATGTAGAAACAACTCATGGTATGGTCCACGTCACAATAAGAGGCTTACCAAGGGGAAACAGACCAGTTATACTGACATATCATGACATTGGCCTCAATCGTATGTATTTGATTTTATACCTTCCCTTTTTTATCATATTTAATCTTCCTTCCTTCCTTCCTCCCTCCCTCCTTCCCTCCCTTTTTTGGAGACAGAGTCTCACTTTGTTGCCTTTGTCGCCTTTGGTGGAGTGCTCTGGCGTAATAGCTAACAATATCCTCAAACTCTTGGGTTCACGAGATCCTCTTGCTGCAGCCTCTCAAGTAGCTGGGACTTACAGTCACCTGCCACAACACCCAACTATTGTTTTATTTAGAGATGAGGATCTTGCTGTTGCTCAAGCTGGTCTCTAACCCCTGAGCTCAAGCAATCCACCCACCTCAACCTCCCAGAGTACTGGGATTACAGGTGTGAGCCACCAAGCCCAGCTTAATCTTCATATATTAAAAAAAAAAAAAATGACTAACAGTGTTCTAATACAGCAGAGCTGTCCCCTCTCTGTCATAACCTTTTCTCCTCATTACTACATTTGTTAATGCCAGAGTTAAAGTTCCTGGGATGTGTGCAGAGGAATGTATTTTGGGGATACTGGAATTATGGACTAAAGATTATATGATAAACTTATTAAGAAAGCAAAACTGGAATCAGTTTTTTACAAGTCTGTATTTTGGCTTTTTCATAATTCAAGTTAGAAAATCCAGAGTTTGAACTTTTGTTATAAGTTTTCAGTCAATTAGTAATACTATTCTTGCTACAGCTTGTTAATCAGTGACTTTAAGTAGAGTTTTCTAAATGGTAGTATAAGATTCTAGCTCTAGCCACAGGCACACAGAGTCTGTATTCATGAGTTTTCTTTCACACTGGCTGGCTTTCAGAGGAGGCCTGCATTTGACACTACAGTTCAGTGCTAGAGCTTCTGTAGCTGCCTTGGTATGAGAAGTGATTTAAGCATTTGTACTAAAAGCATAGAAATGGAAGCAGCAGCCCCTTCATGCCTCCTAGCAGTTGTGCTAAAACATAAACTCCCCTCTGGAGAATATAAGCAGCTAAGACATTCACTTTCACCAGGCTCTTGGAGTCTAGTCAGTGTCTCTTTGCTGGACAGAGAAATAATAATGAGAAATGACAACAATTATGGATGTAAGATTATTTTTGTGCAACATCCAGAAACCAACAAACATCAGGAAAGTATATCTCAGTATGTCTTTAGGGCAGCTTGAATCACTTTAGTGGAATGATGGTTAAAAGGAAGTGAACAAAGAGTATGTGGCATTGACTGTGTAGTAGAAAACTGGAGAGAAATGGAGGGCCTTTGACTTATATGTGTTTTTACTCTTGTAGATAAATCCTGTTTCAATGCGTTCTTTAACTTTGAGGATATGCAAGAGATCACCCAGCACTTTGCTGTCTGTCATGTGGATGCCCCAGGCCAGCAGGAAGGTGCTCCCCCTTTCCCAACAGGGTAAGACACATAGATCTCCTGGGAGACACACACTGGAAGAACAAATGACTGAGCTACAGGAGAAGAAGCAGTGTGTGCTTTCCTCCCACTTGATTTTATCACAGCCTATAGTTATATATCAACCATATAGGCCTCATATTCTATCTCCTTGGGCTGAGAGGACTGTTACATGTAGTTCACTGGGGGAAATGCATATTTTCCCATATCCAGGAATGGCTGTCCATAGTGTGAACGTGCTTTCCTATAATCACAAAGCATATGTGTCTGGAATACTCATGTCTTACTGTCTTTTATCCGTTTCCTTTCTCTTCTACCTGAAATCTGTCATTTTTATGTCCCTCTCTAGAACTCTCAAATACCTAGGCCCAAACTCAGATCCCTCTTAGCATCCCTGGAAGCATCTTCCCATCCTTAGGTCCAAACCCAGTGATAGAAATTTGTGGGTTTTCTCTCTCTCTCTCTCTCTCTCTCTCTCTCTTTTTTTCCAATGATAGAAATTTAAATGTCTGTGTAACCATTTATTCTGAGAGGCTATCCTGGCAGATAGAGGTGCAGTCTGACTGGCGTTGGCATTCTCAGCTTCATCCCAAGTCTGCTTTGCATGGCAGAGTCACAGGCTCCCTTCCTGTTCCCTGGACTGTGTACTTATCCAAAGGACCTCATGAGGAAGAGCGAGAGCACACACTGCAAGGCTAATTCTTCCCCTCTCCTTTTATTCATCTCAGAACTGCTTTTTGGCCAGTGACTGCTGTGAGATAGCCCATTATAGGCAAATAGTAGCTAACATTTACATAGTACTCAGTGTTCTAGACACTACTTTAAATGATTTACTTTTATTAATTCATTTAATCTTTACTGCTCTAGGATATTATTATTCCCATTTTATAAGTGAAGAAAGTGAGGCACAGAAAAATTAAGTAACTTGGCTAAGATTACATAACAAATAAGTGGCAGAGTTAAAATTTGAACCAGGAAGTTTGGGTCCAGAATCTGTGCTATGTCCAAGCTGTTCTGCCTCTCAATACAGATTAGCCTTTGAGTTTATATCCAACAAGAGTTGGTTCCAGTCCCTTTTTGTGTGTGTGCACAAATGGTTCAAGATCACCCCCTCCCTGAAAGTGTTCAGGCAAAGGCAAGCTGCCTTCCCTGTCAGATGTAAAGTAGATCCTGCCCCATACACAGGCAGCTGTCTTAGGATCCCTTCTATCTCTTATCCTATAATCTCTGAATGCTTCTTTTCTTGGATCCCTGCCTTGGGTCTGTTCCTGAGCTTGTTTGACCAATTTAGGATCAGATGGTTCGTGTCATGAATCAAGTCCAAAAACAATTAATAAAATAACCATGTTATCCTATGCCTGAGTGAAACAAATAAGCATTCATGCTCAGGATTTCTAATTATGGGCCTAGACCCAGTAAAGCTTTGTTTACATTTGTGTTTAGTGCCTAATTATAGGCTATAGACAAAGAGCCACTTCCTGAGTTGACTCTTTTTTTTTTTTAGAGTCTCAAGCTGTCGCCCTGGTAGAGAGCTGTGGCATCATAGCTCACAGTAATCTCCAACTCTTGGGCTTAAGCAATCCTCTTACCTCAGTTTTTCTATTTTTAGTGGAGATGGGGTCTCACTTTTGCTCAGGCTGATCTCGAACTCATGAGCTCAAGCAATGCACCCACCTCAGCCTCCCAGAGTGGTAGGATTATAGGCATGAGCCACCATGCCTGCGCTCCTGAGTTGACTCATATA